GCATCAAGAATGCCCTCGCCAAATGCCAAATGCTTTGATCTTGGGCTTCCAGCCTTCAGAACTGTGAGCAAATACATTTCTGTTCTTCATAAATCATCCAGTTTCAGCTATTCTGTTATAGCAGCACAAAACAGACGAAGACATCCATGGTTCTCAGAATCCCCTTAGGGCTTGTTAAAGGGATTGCTGGGTTCCACCCCTGAGTTGCTGATTCTGTAGGCCTGGGGTAGTTGCTGACAACTTACACTTTTATTCTGGGAGGATACTTTGAGAACCACTGTTTCATCTCTGCATGCATTCATCTCTACATGTAATTGAGATCAGTGCCCTAACCCGAGAATGCTGAGGTTCTGAAGGTGAGTGTGAATGGCAGTGCTAGGTGAGTCCTGTCCAGTGGAAACATGATGTGATCCACATATTAAACTTTCTAGTAGCCATGATAAAAAATAAAGCCAAAAGAAACAGATAAAATTAAGAAACTAATTCAAATGGTATACTTAACCCAATATGTGTAAAATACTATCATTTAAGCATGTAGTCAAGGTAAAAAGTCATTGATGAGATTTCTTCCATTCTTATTTTATACTGAGTCTTTGGCTTGCAGTGTGTATTCTGCACTTCCAGCACATCTCAAATTGGGCAGGCCACATTTCAAATGCTTGGTGGCCACGTGGGCCTAGTGGCTGCCATCCTGAACAGTACAAATCAAGGGTCTTCTCTCTGAGGAGACTGTTTCTTCACTTTCTTAAAATGTGTTATTTTAAATTGCTTGTAGAGATTTTTATATGTATTTTCTTAGTGTCTTTAGTGATAGACAGCACTTTCCCTGTGATTGTGAGTTCTCTAGTCTGTAATTCTTGAGTATGTTTAAATCTGTGTGGCTCAGAAACTCTTGGGGTGATGAGAGCAGACAGTGTCTGGGGCTGGGGCTCCCTTAGGCTGGGGATGGCATCAGGACTGTTGACATTGGTGTTACTGGGGAGTGAGTATTCTTTCTACTCTCTTCCACAAAAAAATTAAAAAGATCAGATTAAGGAGTCATGAGAGAGTGAGAGCTGGTTTATGAATGAGAGATCGATAAGGAAGAGGAAGCACTGGTTTTATATGGAACATTATATAATGGGGTCAAAGAGAAATGAGGCAAGAACAAGGCTGCAGTATGTGAAAGGTGCAGAGTTCTCTCTGTGTTTGTCTGTATCTCTCTCTGTATACACGTATGGAATGTTCAGGTACAGTTTGCTTTCGACTTTTTAATTTGATTAGTATCATAAGGAATCATTCTTACTCTTGTATTGTTATTGATAAAAGACAAGGGAAGCACCACTTTTATAAAGAACTATTTTATCGAAACCGTAAAATATCTGTCACCTCCCAAATCTTCCTCCCATGTCCTTTGTTGTTGTAATATTTTGTTGGCTAAGCACACTTAACATAAGATCTACCATCTTAGCAATTTAAAGTATACAATGCAGTGTTGTTAACTGTAGGCACTGTGCCACACAGGAGACCTCGAGGACTTATTTATCTTGCATAACTGCAACTTTGTACTCTTTAACCGTTACATTCCCATTTCTGCTTCCTGCCAGCTCTCGGCAGCTGTCACTCTTCTCTCTGCTTCTAAGAGTTCAACCGGTTTAGATTCCACATATGAGTGAGTTCATACAATACTTGTTTTCATGTCTGGCGGATTTCGTCTTCTGGATATAGACTGAAAGGAATTGAAGTCAGTGTCTTGAAGAGGTATCTGTACTCCTGTGTTCATTACAGTCCAGACAGGGAAAACATGTAAGTGCCCATGGATGGGTTACTGGAGAGAGCATACTGACTTTTATGTGTTACATTTCTCTTTTAACATGATGACACATGAAATGTAAGTAAAAAAAAAAATCTATTAGAACTTGCGAACTCCTGAAAGTTATGTAGCACTAAACCGCAAACCCTGGAAATTAGCCCTTTGAATGCATTAATAAAGAAGCAGTTTTAAAGCTGAACTTCTAGTGGATAATTTGGTTTTGAGGCAGTGAAGATTGGAATAAATGTCTTAGACCAATTGCAGTGCGTCTCTAGTTCAAAGGACGGTGGCTTTTCAATCTAATACCTTTAGAAGATGGAGACTTATCTGTGAAATGTTCAATGTCAGTGCCCCGCATTCAGTTTTCTCTTAAATTGGTTAAAAATAAATACCATGTTAAAGTGGAATAGCATTAACAGTGGATTCACTTATACATTCAGATATATGGGATAATAATGGTTTCTGGAAGGCCCTGACATTTGAGTTTTGTTAAAGATTTCTATCCCGAAATATTATTCTGTTCATTTATTACAATCTCTCATTTCAGTGTGGCTGATTCAGTATGTACTTGAAACCATTTGAAGTGACTAAAGGGTTTTGGGGGTGGTTGCTTTAGAAAAATTGGCATTTCAGAAAGACGCATGTTCCCCTCCATCTCTGTTGATGTTTGAATTCTTCAAAGCACTCCTGTGATCAGAGAAAAACATTGCTTGTGAAATAGTTTTCTCTGAGAGTATAGTCATTTGGGACTGGCTGGGTGTTGATTCAGATCATCTCTTCTGGAAGAAGTTGTTTTCATAGAATGTGTTTCAGGGTGAGGCCTGGGGCTTGAAAGGTTTGTCTCCAGTTCAGAATACATAAATGTAAAATTAACCCAGCTTTAAAATAATCTTCAAAGCCAATAAAAAGTGGAGTCTTTCATATGTTGAGGCAGTAAACTTTCTAGCCCACATTGCTCCTCAGTGACCTGTGCATGCCTCATAGGTTCAGGTTGCAGGTATTAATTATGATTACATGGAAAATGAATGCTAGGAGAGATGACTTTAAGTATCCTCAGTGAATTTTTGGTTTATTATAAATACTTTCTGCATATAAAACTGTATCTAAATATTTATCTCAAAATGCTAGAGGTTTGACTTCAAAAGAGTTTGTGAAATAGAAGTGCTAGTATTTGTCAGACACTTCCTATGTGCCTGGAACTATGCTGCATGATTTTCAAGAATATTCTTTCTTATTTCTGAGACTATCTTGTGAATACTGTTATCATCTCTGTTATACACATGTGGAAACTGAGGCTTGAAGAAGTGAAGTCCTTCGGTCGTTTGGGTCTTAGGTGGCAAAGCAGGCAGGAGTTGGCCTTTGGGTGCAGAGTCTAATGCTCTCACTGTCATATTCTTCTTTTCGAAAAAGCATAAGATTCTCTCAAACTGACCAGTTTTCTTTTCACTCTGTACTTAGGGAAAACTTTAAGGTGAAAGCAAATAATAAGAGATTCTTACACATCTTCAGCTCTAGAAGTTTTTCAGATGCAACAAGCAATAGGTACTACTCGTATTTTCATTCTAATACCTGAAGAAGATCTAGTGAAAAACCATCAAGCAGATTAAACAACTGATTGCTTTTCTGACTGGCTCCTCTATGTAAATATAATATATAGGTATTATAAAAAACTAAACAGGGCAATCCCAGTTGGGTCAGGCTTAATTTCATTAAGGGAAATCAATCAGTGTTCAGCGACATGGGCGTGGAAAAATAAGACATTTGAAGTCATCTTTTTTTGCATGCATATAAGCGCAGAGAAAAAAAAAAACCCCAAAAACCAACAAAAAGGAAGCTGGCTTTCTGACCCAGGTTCTAATCGAACTAGCCGTTTAATTTTTCTCCAACTCTGTGTATGAATGTATTGAATTAGAATGTTGTGGGATTTGACTCTTGGAGTCAGGGAGCCTCTTCTGAGGAAAATTCGCATGTAAACACTTGCCTATCATTCAGGGCTTTCATGGGCCCCCTAAGTCTCTAGGTGTTTCTTGACTTTTACTGGAACTCCTGAATTAGTTGCTCTCTTGCATTTTATTTCTCTTTATGAATGGCAGAATTCTATGGCTGGGTCATATTAAGGATCTTTGTAGATACAATACCTTGATACACAGATGGTGAACTTTTGGTGAATTGATGTCGCCCAAATCACATTTGCTCAATACCCTGGGATATATGCAGGATATAGATTATACTGAGTTGACTAGAATTCCTAAAGAGGTGGCTGTGGCAATGAGAAAAGAGCAGTTAGACTTGGAATTGTCAGGCTTCTCTGCTAGCTAATATGGAAGCTTTAAAACTGTTCCAGTCTCAGTTTCCCCTTCTGTATAAGAAATGAAGAATGTGTCATATGACTATGTGGCACTTAAATGAATTAACAGATGATGAGCCCTGTAGGTAAATCAGCTCATAGATGGAAATGAGCCTGGGGAATGCTCATCACTTTTGCTTATTGCTTAAATATTAATACTTCCCAGAGAGGCACGTCTGGCAGGCTCTGGGTTCTTAGAGAAACTGCAGGGAGGCTTGTGGGCAAGTTCCCTGAGGACTCTTAGAACCTCTTCAGTTATAGTGGGGAAGCCATGGGACCTGGAGAGGCCACCCAAGAAAGGGAAATGAACTTGAAAATCAGTATTGTGAAGACCGGAAGTTGGACTCAGACTTTTGGAAAATCATAGATATTTTTTAGACCCATGCTCTCCAGAGGGCTGAAAAAGTGGCAAAAGTCTTTTGATGAAAGGAAACCTTGAATCCATCTAATAAATCTAAGATCTAATCTGTTTACATACAGTAACATAAGAATCTGTTAATTAAAATATACTTGGGAAGCATTTAAGAATACATTCATTTGTTCACTCTTACTATGTTATAGATGGGCATAAGACCTTTTTGAGAGAGGTGTGTATCATTTTTACATTAACAAATGAAGCAGATTTCTGTGTCTGTTTGAGTTGTTCAGAGACCTTGATATGTCTGCCTCTGTTGTCATCTCTTGAAAGTGTCCTGTCTAATGTCTTAGGTCTGGAAGAATTAAGTCTGCTTTTTTTCTTTTTGAAGCTTAATTTTAATTTTCTCTTTTTAAATTGTAATTTATGCACATTTTATGCATGTCCTTTACAAAACGCCAATCTTTTCAATGTATTAATCTATTTTCTTCTGCTTTTATTTTCAGATAGAAGAATTTCGAAGGCTGAGGACGCATGTTAAGGGGGCAGAACTTGTGGAAGGCTGTGATGGGATTTTGGGAGACAACTTTCGACCCACGCAGCCTCTTAGTGACAGAGTCATTAGAGCTGCATTTCAGTAGCCAAAGAGGACAGGAACAAGTCTATCTTCATGAGGGTATGTCCAGATTATGTAAGGAAAATGAGGTGCACAGCTACTTAAACCTAGCATACCAAAGGTACACTTATGGCGATCCTGGTAATTTAATAATAAAGCATATTTACTTCATCTTGATAAAATTTATGACACATTCTTGAGCTCTGTTAATTATAGGTTAGGTAGTTATTTTAATTTTATGCAGTATTAAAGAAAAACTATGATTATATTTTCCTATCAGAGTAGCCCAAATTCCAAATTTTGCTGGCTTTCATAAGGAAAGACACCCTGAGGCCCAGAAAAAGTGACATGCAAGGAACTCTTTAGTAACTTACCATGTTGTCCAGCACCAGTCATGTCCCAGTGACCAAGGAGCACACAGCAAGGGGCTTGGGAGCGTGTGAGCCTCACCATGGACCCTACTTGTCTTCTGCAGAATTGATTCTCTTGTTTCTCAGGGTAGGGTCTGGCATGCATTGAAATACTTGTTCTATGGAAGTGCTGTTTATTTGATAAAGTGAGAAGTACTTATTAATTATCTGAATATGGTGAAACATTATATATTTTAATATATCAAATTCACTGTATGTATTCTTTACTCTTAAGGATCTAACAAAATAAAATATCACAAACATGGAAGAGATAAAATATAAAAACGACTATATATTGGATTATTTCTTAACCTTGTCAGTTGCCAAAGAGTGCATCGGTCATTGTACATCACTGGCAAACCACAGCTTCCCAAGGGAAAGCATCTGTTGGAACAGGTCCTAGGGAAGCAGTGAAATCTCTTCTCTGTAGACAATTTAAAAATTAGCTGGGCGTGGTGGCATCCACTTGTAGTCCCATCTATTCAGGAGGCTGAGATGGGAGCCTCACTAGAGCCTGGAAGGTGGAGGCTGCAGTCAGCTGAAATTGCACCACTGCACTCCAGCCTGGGTGACAGAGTCAGACCCTGTCTCAAACAAAATAAAACAAAACAGAAAAACAAAGAAGTCTGCTGGGTAACCAAGGCGATAGACGTGGAGGCTTGGACACTAGAATAGGAGCAGTGGAGGTGGAGAGAAGCTGATGTATGTGAAATAGAAATTGCAGGTTTAGCTAATAATGAGTTGGATGAGGGGTAGAGGGAGATGGAAGTGTCAAAGGTCACTTCTGGGGATTTACACTTTGGAAACCGTAGATGGAGTGCCACTGAGTGGCAGTAGGAAGGCTACAGGGAGGCCCTGTTTGGTTGAAGATAAAGAGTTGAGCTGTAGCACAGTGAGTAAGAGATGCCTGTCAACCACAAACTCCAGTAGTGGACTCTGGTCATGAAGGTCATTAGAATTTCAAGAATGGAGATCAGAAAACAGGATGGGTTGAAATATGGGAGTATTGGACATAGACATTGTGCATGTACGTGTTCATATAATGTTCTGACTTCACTAAGTGTGCATGAAATCTTGTGGGAGGTTTTATACACAAGTTAGACAAGACACAGAGGCGTTAGGTCACGGCCCAATGTAATGCAGCTATTGAGCAGCGGAGCTGAAAGATCTAGGCAGCTTGACTGGCAGAGCTCTTTTTCTTTACCGTGATATGGGCAGAGGTTAAAGAGAGTCGCCACACTGGTGGTTGTGTGGTACATAGGGAGGGACGCAGTTGCAGCAGGCTGAAGACCATCGGAAGGCAGGAGCTGGAGGCTCCAGGGCACAGCCACCTTGGTGGGCTGGACTGGGGTGGGGCAGGAGGCCTCAGCAACAGAGAGAGAGTAGGACTGAGGAAATCTTTTTTTTTTCCTATCTTTTTTTTTTCTTCAATTGTACTTTAAGTTCTGGGGTACATGTGCAGATCTTGCAGGATTGTTGCATAGGTACCCACATGCCATGGTGGTTTTCTGTCTTCATTCCCCCCGCCCGTCACCGACATCTGGCATTTTTCCCAGTGTTATCCCTCCCCAACCTCCCCACCCCCTGCTGTCCCTCCCTTAGCTCCCCCCTCCCAACAGTGGTACATCAAGGAGGGACGCAGTTGCAGCAGGCTGAAGACCATAGGAAGGCAGGAGCTGGAGACTCCAGGGCACAGCCACCTTGGTGGGCTGGACTGGGGTGGGGCAGGAGGCCTCAGCAACAGAGAGGGGGTAGGAGTGTGTGATGTTCCCTTCCCTGTGCCCATGTGTTCTCATTGTACAACACCTGCCTGTGAGTGAGAACATGTGGTGTTTGGTTTTCTGTTCTTGTGTCAGTTTGCTGAGAATTATGGTTTCCAGATTCATTCATGTCCCTACAAAGGACACAAACTCATCGTTTTTTTATGGCTGCATAGTATTCTCTGGTGTGTATGTGCCACATTTTCTTTGTCCAGTCTATCACTGATGGACATTTGAGTTGGTTCCAGGTCTTTGCTATTGTAAACAGTGCCACAGTGAACATACGTGTGCATGTGTCTTTATAATAGAATGATCTATAATCCTTTGGGTATATAGCCAGTAATGGGATTGCTGGGTCAAATGGAATTTCTATTTCTAGAACCTTGAGGAATCGCCACACTGTCTTCCACAATGGTTGAACTAATTTACGCTCCCACCAACAGTGTAAGTGTTCCTATTTCTCCACATCCTCTCCAGCATCTGTTGTCTCCAGATTTTTAACTTGCCTATATACCGGGGCGTGGGGAAGGAGCAAATAGATGGAGAGAAGCTGAAGGTGCTGCTTCTGGGAGGAGCTGGAGCAGTGAAGTCTAAAAAGTTGAAAGGGATGAAATCCTAAGCACACAGGGACACTGACTTTTGCTGAGAGGATCAGCACTCTTTGTGCTGCAATGGGAAGGAAGAAAGAAGGAGGTGGTGATTTAGAGCTGCTGTGTACCCATGACTTGCTCTTATCATTTAATGATGAATGGGGCAGGAACCAGGAGGGGGAAGACAGCAGGGAAGATAGCGTAGGAGCAGAGGGAAGGAGAAGGATGGATTCACAGGAGAAGCCAAGAGGCAGCGGGGGTGGGATGAGGGTTACAAAGCGTGAGTTTATGCATTTCTACAGCATAGGTTTAGTTAGTATATTCCCTGTAAATGTCAATAACTGTAAATGACACTTTTAATGAAGGAATATTATTACCTTGAATGTTCGGTTTGTATCTGGTCCTAGACCAGAGTTGCTGTTCTCTAAATATCTAAATAGCAATTATTACTATTTTCTCTTTTTCTTATGCATACACACATACACATGCAACCGCAGACATGTGCACGCACGCGCGCACGCACACACACACACACACACACACACACACACACAGAGAGAGAGAAACATTTATGAGATTTTGCATATTTCACATACTCCATATTCTTTATATGATAGATGAATATTGTGTAGTTTTTCAAAACTTTGAGTTAATTTAGGTACTATTTTTAAAAGGAAGATGGATTTATGTTATTTTTGTGTTCTCATCATGGTGGCTGAGATTTCTTAAAGGGGGTAATTTGCTTCCAAATTCCTAAGAATGGTACAGGAATTCTAAGGTGACTCTAATTCTGATTTTATTTTTTTTTTAATGAATACATTTCTTATCCTTTTATCTTGAAATGTGTAATACAAATCTAGTCAGAGTTCCATATAAAACTTATATTGGGAATCAGGCTTATGTGTGTGTACTTTTTATTTGATATTTAATAATGCCCTAAGGCATGTAATTCAAATTTTTATTAAAGTGAAATGATTTGACAGTCAGACTTTGAATTTAATGCATGAATGTTTCATTTAAGCTCTTGGAACTAAAAAGGAAAAGACATTTCTCTGGTAGTTAGTTCTCTAAAAAATGTTTAAAATAATTCACATTTATTTTAGCTATGTTTTACTGAAATAACTTTAGTTTTTGGACTTAAAATGACAAATTTTTGAAAAATGACATATCTGGGCACCTGGAAGACTTTGATAACCAAGCCTTATTATTCCTGTGAGTAATCTGTGACTTTTTATATTACCGTTTCAGATGTATGAACTATGATTTTGTATTACACTTGTTTAAAGAATTAGCATGCAACTCACCCAGGTGCTGGAAATTTTTTGGTTCAGTGGTGCTAGTTCAGATTTATGGGGGCCTATGGGTATTAAATGATCATTTACTCATTGAATTTTCTGTGTGATGCAAGAGAACTAAATGTATTTTGATAACAATGAACAAATGATATAACAAGTTTAAGGTCAGTTTGCTTGTTGCTTTTGTTATCATGACATTGGTACTACTCTTCCAACAAAGTGATTATATGATTATTTGCCTTGTTATTTCATTAAGTGTTAGCCCATTTTTAAAATGCTATTCTGACTGCTCAAAGAGTGTCTTGCTTGTGACCTAAATATTGTTAAGCTGTATACATGTTTACAGTAACTATAATGAATTATAATTATTTTCTATAAGAAGCAATGTCACATGGCCTTTTAAATAGTTTCTCTCTATTTCCCCCTCAACGGTGGAAACATAAGTATGCCCTAAATAGATTAGGAAAGAAACAAAGCCAGAAAAATGGGGTTATTCAGCAGGCATCTCCAAATAGTCCCATTGTCAAACTTGCCTTCATTTTTCTTTGGGGATCTTTGATGTTATCCTTGACTCTGTTGAATTCTTCCCTGTTTGTACTTTGCAGTTAGTAATATTGTCTTCTTAGCTTTAATAAAACTGTAGCTAGTGTCAATTTCATATCAGTCTTCTTTGATAACCTAAAAGAGTTATAGGTTAGAAAAGGTTAAGGCATTATAGAGAAGCTGGTGCTTGTGTGGGGGAAGTGAGAATGTTGACTCTGAATGACCAAGTAGGTGAAAGCTATTATCCTTCCAGATTAAATGGAAAGCTCAAAGCCATATTTTCAGCCAGTAGAACTTGGACTCTCCTCACTCTGATAATTTAACATGGTGCACAGCATTAGGGTGAGAATTGAAGGCTCTGTAGATATAGCTGTTTTCTATTTATTATATCTCATAGGGTTTCCTCCAACTGGAATGGATTTCCTACTAGATCTCAAAATGATTTCAGTAAAATGCCAAAAC